TTCATAAATAGTTGCAACTCAAAGTGTTGCAACTTAAGTTGCAACTAGATAAAAATTTTAAAAATAATTATGGGAATCATCTTTAGTTGCAATATTACGCATTGCAAAACTGTCGCAATACTATGCAACATAAAACATTTGAAGTCCTATGTGTCATAAAGCTTCAAAGTATTACGCATATGTAAATTTTTCAACAGCCTCGTAACCTTACATAATATTACGGGGTGTAGAGATTACATAATACTTCGCTTTATTAAATTTACTGATGTAATAAATTTTTGATTTAAAATAACAAAAATTGATAAGTAAAAAATAGTTAATCTGAATCATAAAAAATAACAGATAAGAAATTAATCAATTAGTCTTTTTTATCTGCATTATACAAGTAAAACAAAAATTCAAACTTACCTTTATATCAGAGATAACAAAAAATAAAATATAGGATTTTATATTATGATTCTTACTTAAACTTTTTCCAATTTATTATACTGTAAATTCTTAATATGTATTATAACTAAAAATCACCTAGGAATAATAGCTAGATAGGTAATACAAAAAGGTGTGGAGTTTTATGAAGGTGATTAGTAGTGTACAGTGATGTTTATTATGATTACATGATATTAGTGTGAAATGTATTCAAGTTACATATATCACTTTTAACCCATATTATTATAATTTTGGTCAGTTAATCTTATTCATCACTTGAGTAAATGTTACATAAGATGATATACACCACTCATTATCTTTATAGGACTCCACACCTTTTCATATCACTCTAGCCAAACATGTTACATATAGATCAACCATTAAACTTTTTTTAACATATACTGCTTATAAAAATTAAGTAATTAATAAAAGGTCATATGATCTATTCATTTATTTTAACAATTTACCACTTTTAAAAATTATTTTTTTCTTTGCAATTACAAGAAGATTTATTCTAAAAAGCTTCTTTTTTTAAGATCTTAAAGTTGAAAAGAAAGTATGATTTTGACAGTTAAAATAAATATAATTTTATATGAGAAAAAATAATTTCTTAGGTTATAAAGGTAATTAATTATTCAAATAGTTTTTGCATAAAATGCAAAAAATTAATTTTTTAATTTAAAAATGTTTATTAGGTAACATTTAACTAATAATATATGTTATAATTTAGCAAAAGAAACAAGTTTTATTAAGGTGAAAAAGGTAAATATTCAAATAAATTTTAGGTTATTCTTGAATTATGTTAAAATTTCTCTAATTTTTAATATAAAGAATAATAAAATTTATATATTTATTGTAGGAAATAATTAAATAATATTTTTAAATAAATTTTTATAAGTTGAATAATTGCAAATTTATTTTTTTGTAATCTTTTAAAAAATTTTATATTTGTACTTAGTGTGTTTATATTCCAAAAATAATGTTTATTATTAAATAAAAATAGATAAAAAGTATTAAAAAAAAAAGTTTCGATTATTCATATAATAAATACTGTATATCAAAAAATAGAAACATTTTTGATGTAACGAAATGTAACACAGTTTACATACGAAGTAAAAAAAGGGCAAAAAAATTTTGTCGATCAAATGATCGACATCATATCAATGTCATTTGCTATGATCGACATGCGACATGTCCGGCTACTGATAAGCGAATTGCTCTGTATAATCAATATGCGCGTTTCTGCTATATTTTGGAACCGAGTGGGATGGATCAAGTTCTCGTCAAGTAAATCTTTATACTGGGAAAACCTACCAATGTTTCTTTTAACAAGATAATTTTCTTTATTTGTGATAATTTATCATGTATGAAATACTAGGGAACAAGTGTAACGAAGGAGATTAATCATGTCGACTCAATTTTGAGTGGGCGGACAATGGAACATCCTGTGTCACCTTGCATAGAAGTATATAATCCTTCGCTTCGCTCCGGACTAATTATTTTGCAAATGCTTGCATTTTAGAAATTATAAATTGCATTTGTATTTTTTTATTTTCGCATTGCACGATTCTATCCAAAAATGAATTATGTTATGTGTTTTCATACATGTGAAATAGATACATGAAAACCTTACTCCTAGAAACCAATTTATATAAAGATGTTTTGCCGCGCGGTTTCGGTATGGCTTCAAAACAAAACAAATTTTCTGTTTGCTGTAACAAAAATTCCCTTCGAAACTTCCGAAATTTTTCGAAATTCTGGTTCGTAATTATTTTTACCGGTATTTTTTCCCCGATAAAATCGCATAATATCTGCAATTATGGCGGATCCATCTCAGATAAACCAAGATTACCTTTTTTTAACGATTTATATTAAAAAAAATTAACCGATTCTGATCATCAGCCGCAGTCAGCCAAGTAACGATAAATGTTTAAACCGAATTAATCTAATTAATCTAATGAAATCATAAAAAAAACGAAAATGAAAAGTATCATTTAATTATCATGGCTTAGGCGTAATCGTAAAATAACCGAACGGTAAGGCTTAAAAACACATATACCATAATGGGACAATTATTACCTTATTTATCATAAAAACTTGTAAATTTTTCCCAAGGAAATTTATTCGATTATAAATTGACTCAGTTTTCCTAAATTTTTCTGTTTTCCAAAAAATTGATGTATACAAATATAATTTTTTCGAAAATAAAATATAACCAATAATAATAATTAATAATAATTAATAATAAAAAATGTCAAATCATTTAATAACTTTATTACTCATTCCATTATTATTCACATTAATATACGCAGAATATAGAACACTTAACGGTACATACAATAATTTGAATAACCCATCGTTAGGTTCCATGAAATCCCCATTATCGCGATCAAATCCTCCAATTTCTTACTATACAAACATTATTAATGGCAATGGGGCGTCCATGATTCCAACTCCAGGAAATTATTCTTCGGAGGTACCGAATGAATATGCAAATTGCAGCGCTGTATTACCCGAGAATTTATTTCCATTACCTAGATGTGCGAGCAATAAGATTGGATCCATACAAGCAACTATGGATGATGTTTATAATTTAGATCTCTTGGACAAGTATAAGTCAAAACGTAAAATTTCTCACATGGTAATTTAAAAGGAACAAACAAACCGTTACGGCGCAGTTAATAAGTTGGCGCAGCAAATACTGAAGTATTTTTTTTTTTCACCGCATGTTTTAATAGTTCACATATTGGGGATTCTTTTTGAAAATGGATATAGTTTCTGGAGATTATTCTGGAGAAAATTACCCAACCGGAATTTATATCCCTCAAGATGATCTAACATACTTGTCACAAAATCCTCAAAATGAAAATCTCGTGATAGATCAGGTATTTATTTTTTTAAATTGATTTTTTTTGTGGCAATGATTTTTAACTAAAAATTTTCAACGCATATATAGCTGGCAATACAATTTAATCGATCATCTTCGACAGCAAATTCGGTGGGATCAAATTTAGGCACTTCATTTTTAGACGGATCACAACTATATGGTCTTGATAATGAGAAATCGTCTCGTGTACGTGATATTGGTAACCATGGAAGAATGTTGTTAATTTATAGTGATAATTCAGAAGACTCAAAGTTGGGATATCCGCCAACAGATGAACATGATGAATATATTTTTGGATACACGGCTATCAAAGGAAGAAATGTATTTACTGATTTGTTTTACATAGTATTCTTGAGAGAACACAATAGAAGATGTGATGCATTATGGGAGTTACATGGAGATGGTTGGGACGATGATAAATATTTCCAAGAATGTAGAAAATGGGTAATCGCTTTATTGCAACGCGTTACCTTTTATGAATATCGTAAGGGTTTAATAATAATAATAATTATAATTTGTATTAAATTTGATTGAAGGTTTAAAAATTTCTTTTGTTTTTTTTAAAAAAAAGTCGGCATTGCTTTAGGATCACCTCTACCACCTTACAAAGGATATAATCCAAGTTTAGAACCTAGTATTGATACATTTTTTGCAACCGTTGCATACAGATATGGCCATTCCGAAGTCAGGTATTTAAAATTAAATTGATTTTGATTTTAATGTTTCTTTTACGATATTGATGCTTTTTTTTAAAATAAAAAAAATAACATATATATACATATACATTAGTGATTATCATAATATTGTTAATAGTAACGGACAAGTGTTGGCCACATTATCATTAAATTCATTACAGAGGCCTCGGCTGCTAGAAACCTATGGCGTACCTTCTATAGCTCTTTCATTAGCTCTTCAAAGGTAATAATAGATTGATTAACTTTTTTAATGAATTGGTTACATAATAAAGTATTTTTTCTTGATATTTAGACAAGAAGAAACCGATATATTTTTTTCGGATTTTATGAGAAAATTTATGTCACGTCATCAAAATATTACAGAAGAGATGGATATTTTAAGGTAACATATATGTAATACAATCAAAAGAAACCCTCTTTAAGATTATTAATATAATTATATCTTTTGTTAGTATTGATGTAATAAGAAACAGAGATCATGTAATACCATTATATAATGATGCCAGAGAAGCAATGGGATTAAAAAGAGCAACAGAATGGTCAAACATAACAAACGATCCTATCGTACAAAATAGATTGATTGAAACTTATTCAAATGATATTGATAGAGTTGAAGCATTCATTGGTGGACTTGCTGAAGATCATGTTAATGGTTCTAGTTTTGGTGAATTATTTTATAAAAGTTTTTATGATCAGGTATCCTATTAAAATTATTATTATTAGTATTATATGACTCATGACTAAAATCTATTTTTCTTGATGAAATAGATGATGTTGTTAAGAGATTCAGACAGACTTTGGTTTGAAGTAGAAGATGCCGAACTTAGCGATCAAGAACTTTTGGAGATAAATCATACAACGTTATCACAAATAATAGCAAGGAATTCACCAGAGACATATAAATTACCGGCAAATATTTGGATAGTACAACCATCAACATCATTAAAATCCGTAACACCGAATGACACAACAAATAATGACAAAGACAACATTCTTGAAAAAAATTTTTTTTATACGGCATCAAATCATTTAAAATTTTCAGATGGTTATGAGATTTTTTGGGAAGTAATTGGTCGTAATATTCATCTTAAGTTAATTTCGGCTAGTACGGTTGGATGGTTTGCCATTGGTTTCGGCGAACCCAACGATAGAACCATGATTACTTCTGACATGATTATTTGTCGGAACATTAATGAATCTTATGTTGAAGTAAAACAATATAAAGCAAATGCTTATTTCACTCCTGAATTAGTTGATGAACAGAATCAATTTGTTAAAGTGTTGGGTCATAGAATTAGTAGTGGTATTTATACTCAAGTTGAAATCGTTAGGCCATTAAAAGTTAAAGGAAGTTTCATGAAACCTATTACCGCTGATAAGAATTTAACACGTGATTATTTAATTATTTATATTTTTATATTTAACTATTTGTTTTTTGACAGTTTTTTTTTAATTAAAATCAATTAATTAAACGAATTTAGTGATATATGCATGGAATCCAAATGATAACTTTCTAACTTATCATGCAGGAAATAGAGGAACAATACCGGACATGAACTTCTTTTCAGATGCAACATTTATAAATAAAAGAAGACAAAATTTATTATCTCATGGAATTGGAATGTTCCTAGTATGGGGGTGAGATTTTTTCTTTTGTTTTTTAAAAAAAAAACAATTCATTCATTAATTATTCACTCATTAAAAGTATTTTTTTTTTAAAAAAAAATAATAAAATAGGATTCTTTTTCCGGGTAGTTATTATTTTCTTTTTTTCTTAAATTTTTTTTTCGTTATACTTGATATAAACTATTAATTTTGTGTGTTTCACGTAACCAGTTTCAATTTGGAGAGTCAGGTACATGAAAACGGTAGGTTCCTACATGAAATTTCACAGAAATTTACAATTGTTTGGAGCGGTGATCGTTGCCATGTTTGGTGGCATAGCCTTGGCCATAATGGAAAAACGATTCATAAGAGGTGCTCACGGAATGTAAGCAATTCATTCTCTTTCAATGTTTTTTATTAAGCACTAAATTTTATTTTTCATTTATTTATTTTTAGAATTGGAATAATAATATTTTGCATAATGGGCGTACAGATTGGAATAGGGATATTTAATATCTGGAATCTCGGAAATGTTGAATCAGTTAATATGGGAATCATCAAATTATTCAAAATTATTCATTTGACGTTGGGAATTGCATTAATCATTCTCTCATGGTAAAGTTATCGTCGTTGTTGTTATATTATTTTTAAAGGATGGTTTAATTTATTTTATTTTATATATTTTTTTTTTGTAGGGTGAATATGTATATTGGAATAAAAGATTTTAACAACGAAAATAATTTGATCGAAAATCATTGGAGCAATATTTATTTGGTTTGGATAAGTCTAATAGTGATTACATTCTTCGTAAGCGAAAATATATTTAGAGTGAGAAATATGAAATTTTTGTATACTATGGTTAACGAAAATACACGCGTCACCGATATCCGATTACAACATTTCATTAGAGATTATGATCAATTACCAACAATGACATTGGATGAATTTAATCAAAGAGTAATTCGTGGAATGAAATTGGTCATAGTGGAAGGTATGATATTTGATATAAGTAAATGGATGAAATATCATCCTGGAGGGGTAAAAATTTTACAAAGAGTGATTGGAACTGATATTACAAAGGATTTCTTTCATATCACTCATAAAAACGACGACAGTCAATTAAGCAGCAGTGTTGATGAAGAAGAATTTCTCATCATGAATGAAAAGGATCAACAGATTAGTAATATTATTAAAAGGAATAGTATGAATAAAAGGGATAAGAATGAGACATTTGCCAACTTTATTGATATTATTAATGTAAATAAATTTTTTGGAAAGAAGTTGAGTAGAGTTGCAGTGCACAGTCATTCATTATACGCAACTACCAAATTGGCCACCTTGGTTATTGCTAAATTATTCACTGAAAAAGAGGAAATCACTGAAAATAATGTACAACAAATTCTTTTCCAACAACAACAACAGCAGCAGCAGCAACAACAACAAGAACAGCAACAGCAACATAATCAGTTTGATTCATCAAATTCATCTATATTTCATCGGTGCATAATAACCAATATTGAAATAGTGACAAGTCATGGTAACTACCAATATGATTCACCAATAGTTAAAAAATTTACATTGAAACCGATTCGGAAAAATGATAACTTTCCTGTTAGAACATTCATTCCTGGAGACTATATTGAAATCATGTGTTACATCGATGATCAAGTGATCATTAGAAAATATACACCTTTATTGCAAGAATTTTCCGAAGAAAATGACGAGGATGTTGATAGAAATAATTATCATTTGGATAGAAGGTTTTGGATATTAGTGAAAATTTACAAGGATGGATTCATGTCTAAATATATGGTAAGTAAATAATTCTATATAACTTCATTAATACAAAAATGATTTTTATAAATAAATTCTATTGCATTTTAAAGGACAAACAATTAACAAATTTCGAAATATCGGTTAGAGGACCGTTTAATGTCTCTGAAAGCATTTTCAAAAACGTTTCAATTCCATTGGATCAACCCATACCTAATATTTTATTAAATCCAAATCAACTTAATGGATGCTGGAGTAATTTATTCATGATTTGTGGTGGTTCCGGTATAACTCCAATGTTACAATTGGTAATTATCGTGACAGATTGTTTCTTTTATCACCAGGAAAATAAAATTATTTATCATTTTATTTTTAATTTTTAGATTCATTATCACTTACAGGAATATCAGAATTCATTAAAACAAAGGATCTTGCCACCAAATACTTATAAGTTACACTTATTATTTGCAAATAATTCGGCTTCAGATATTATTTATCCAAAACATTTAGATAGTTTAGTTAGAAAATTTAAAGGGAACCTTACTATTGATTATATACTTTCTAATCCGCCAGATAATTGGGATTGTCTTAAAGGATACATTGATGATGTTATTTTATTTGATTGGTTATCTTACAACATTAATACCGGTTCAAATCATGCTATCGACAGTGATCCTAATCTTGGTCAACAAAGTGAAGTTGAGTTCACTTGTAGCATGATACCTCCTAATCAGACAGTTTATTATCCTCGACCACAAATTTCTGGAGATAGTTTTGATATTTATAATACTCCAGTTCTTCAACAATCTCAAGAACGACAACAATATCCTTCTAATGTTGATGTCGCGCAACTAAGAGAATATCCTACAATGGTTCAGGATCCATTAGTTGAGTCTTCTATTACACATTCTACGGTTCTTAATCCTCCCAATATTGTTATTAATTATTTTCCTGATAATTCAAAAATTATTGTTTGCGGTAATAATGGTTTTATGCTTTCTATTCAAGATATTTGTAATAGGATTGGTATTAGGGAAGGAAATACTTTATTTTTAGTATAAAATTTAAATGAGTTTTGTAAATAAAAAAAATAAAAACATAAAAATGAAATAAAAAAAAAGAATTAAAAATATTAAATTAAATTAAATAAATGTATGTAATATATATACAGTATGCAGTATATATATAACGACAATCCAAAAAAAAACAAATTTTATTTATTATGAAAATAGTAATAAAAAAGGCGTGAAGTTATTATATACTGTGGTTCAATGTAGAATGATTAAATAATAAATACAATGAAAGGGAAAAAATACAAGAAAAAATCAAAAAAAATCACAATGAGTAAAATTATAGAATACACCTTCTAAGATAAAAATATAAATCTAGTTTTATGCTGATAACTCAAGTTTACTATAATACATTCCCGGTTTGGCCCATGAATCATGCTATTTGTGATCCATACACATAATTTTCTTGGGTTCTTGACTTGCTTCTCTTATAAGCTCGTATAACAAGAGCCGTTAATCCTGCATACAGTATCGTTGAACATCCGACTGCTAATCCAATAATTATTCCCTTATTTGAATTGACTGAACCATTATTTGCATCAGCCGGTACAGGATTTAATATATTTGTTTTGTCCCAGGATTTGTTGCCTTTGGAAATTAAAAAATTAAAAATTTCAATTAATATTAAGTAAACAATTAAATTGAAAAAAAAAAATAAAAAAATCTGCATATTAAACTACATACCGACTAACAACAATGGAGACGCTTTTTTGTCAATCAATTTATTTAATTCCGAACCCTCTGAATAAAATGGATTCGTATTATCTTTAATTACGTTAGAAAATGCTTCGAATTTGTTCTCAGGTATAATTATTTTCATAATAACACCTCCATCCTCAGCAGCTTCCAATCCACTAATTATGACATCATTAGGATTAATATTAACAAAGTATGCAATATCTCGATGCAAAAATTGGGCAAATTGTGTAGGTAAAATATCATCTTTAACTACATCTACCCATAGAAGTTGATTCGTAAATTTCAACTGAACTTGAACGGTACCCGCTACAATATAAGTGATTCAATATCAATAAATCTAGATTTTAAATTATCAAACATAAATCATACAAATACTTACGAGGACGAGCTTCATACGAAGCTGCTTCATTAATTATAATCTCTTCAGGAATGTTGCTAGGAATTGTGACCGTGGCAGTTTCAGGAACGGACGTATTCAACGTAAAATTTATTTTTGATGGAGGAATAAATTTGTCTTTATTCTTTGGTGTTTGTTTTTCGGTTCCATCATCATTTGGTTTTTCATTGTTATTTGGATTTTTACCGATTTTGGGATCTTTTGTGGGCTTGGGTGATGGGTTTTTACTCCTAGTTGGTTCTGGTTCGGAAATTGTAACGCTTGGTTCTAATGTTTTAGGTTCGTCTTCTGGTGGAACCTTTGGTTCTTTACCATTTTCTTGATTGGGTGGTTGCTTTTCTTCTGGGTTCTTTGGATCATTGCCATTTTCTTGTGTAGGAGGTTTCTTTATTTCTTTTGGGTCCTTCGGATCTTTATCATTTTCTTGCTCAGCCGGTTTTTTTGGCTTCTGTTGTTCTTTGGCTGGTTCCTTTGGCACATTTTCATTTGGCTCCGGCTCTTTTGGTCCAACAGGATTTTCCTTGGGTACTGGAACCTTTGGTTCTTTTGGTTCAACAGGTTTTTCCTTAGGTACTGGAATCTTTGGTTCTTTTGGTTCTTCTTGTTCAATCGGTTTTTCCTTAGGTACTGGAACCTTTGGTTCTTTTGGTTCTTCTTGTTCAACCGGTTTTTCCTTTGGTTCTGGAATCTTTGGTTCTTTTGGTTCAACTGGTTTTTCCTTAGGTACTGGAACCTTTGGTTCTTTTGGTTCTTCTTGTTCAACCGGTTTTTCCTTGGGTGCTGGAACATTTGGTTCTTTTGGTTCTTCTTGTTCAATCGGTTTTTCCTTAGGTACTGACACCTTTGGTTCTTTTGGTTCTTCTTGTTCAACCGGTTTTTCCTTAGGTACTGGAACATTTGGTTCTTTTGGTTCTTCTTGTTCAATCGGTTTTTCCTTAGGTACTGACACCTTTGGTTCTTTTGGTTCTTCTTGTTCAACCGGTTTTTCCTTAGGTACTGGAACATTTGGTTCTTTTGGTTCTTCTTGTTCAATCGGTTTTTCCTTAGGTACTGACACCTTTGGTTCTTTTGGTTCTTCTTGTTCAACCGGTTTTTCCTTAGGTACTGGAACATTTGGTTCTTTTGGTTCTTCTTGTTCAATCGGTTTTTCCTTAGGTACTGACACCTTTGGTTCTTTTGGTTCTTCTTGTTCAACCGGTTTTTCCTTGGGCTCTTCTTTTGGTTCTTTTTGTTCTTCATTAGGTTGCTTGGGTTCTTTTGGTTTTTGTTCAGCCGGTTTTTCCTTAGGTTCTGGTTCCTTTGGTTCTTCATTAGGTTTCTTGGGTTCTTTTGGTTCTTCTTTATTTTCTGGCTTTTTTTCCTTAGGTTCTGGTTCCTTTGGTTCTTCATTAGGTTTCTTGGGTTCTTTTGGTTCTTCTTTATTTTCTGGCTCTTTCTCCTTTTGATCGGGTTCTTTTGGTTCTTTATCTTCCGGCTTTTTTTCTTTTTGCTCAGGTTCCTTTGGTTCTTTTGGCTCTTCTTTTTCAGCCGGCTTAGACTCTGGTTCTTTATTTTCCGGCTCTTTCTCCTTTTGATCGGATTCTTTTTGCTCTTTATTTTCCGGCTTATTTTCTTTAGGTTCCTTTTGTTCGTTATTATCTGCTTTATTATTCTCCTGTTCTGCCGGTTCCTTTTCATCATCCTTTGGTGGATCATTCTTTCCATCCTCCTGTCTAGGATATAAAATGGATAGTCTCATACCATTATTGGGTGAGTCCAGCACACCATTTAATGAACTCGATTGACTTTTACTCAAATTCGACAACATGATCAAATTTATAACAATTAGAAGACATATTATTATTGAGACCCGTATTGGGTTTAATATGGTTGATTTGATCATTTTATATATAATATATTAAAGAAATACAATAAAAAAAAATGAAAAAATGAAATAAATCTTCTTTCTCTATAAAATTTATAATCCTTTGGCTTTTTTTTGAAATACTGTAAATAATAATTCACAAAGTTATTGCGTGCGAAGAATGTAGACAAGTAGGACTGATGACGGATGATGATGATATTACTTTTTTTTTTAATTAAAAAAAAAGGAAAAAAAAGAAAGGGAAGTAATATGTGAGTTGTGTGTGTAAAAATGATATTAATCGGATTCGATAGATGTCTAAAAAGGAAAGTAATAACAATCGTTAAATTTGAGATGATGAATGAAAAACGGGGTATTATTGTATTAAAGATTGGATTACTTTTCAAAATGATAATTCGGGAAATTTTATGTGATAAGATGAATAGAGTCGTTATGATAAAGGAATGTGATGTAAAAAATTTTCAAGGCGATAGGGAGTGCCGAAATGAATTTTTACCAGGACAATTGTTGGCGTGAGAGATTATGTTTGAAAACATAAAGGAATAAAAAAATTTTTTTTTTCCTTATGTTAAAAGAAAAAAAAACTGTAAAAAAAAAAAAAAAAACTAAATATGAAAAAAAATCTCGACGAAAAGTATAAGTTGCAAGGTTTAATAAACCTTGTACTTAAGGATTTAAATAGGAGAAAAAAATGGAAAGGAAAGTAAATAAAATCAAATGAAATAAAAAATGAAAGGTTGAGAAAAAAAAAAAAAAAAAAAAAACAATGGAACCCAAATTAAAATATTGGCAAATCCTCTTTCGGATTCCGTGTAACAACTAATTAAAAAATTGGTCAAACTTAGAAAATAATCATATTCTTCATAATCGTAAATCAAATGAAAAGGAAGGGTACTTGACTTGAGAATCGTAAGACATTGGTGTTACCTTATTGTTGATAAACCAATTGTAAAAAAAAAAATTTCTTTTGTAATTTGTTTATAGGAACTTGTATAAATTATTTTATTATTAAATTAAACAATCCTAATACATGATCTTCATATTAACTATATTATATGTAACCCAAATTAGGTTAAAAGCAGTGTAATTTCTCCGTAAAAAAAAATCATTTTTTTTTTCCACTGAAAATTATTTCGGAAAACAAACATACGCATTATTATTTGCGATTAGCATATGATGTAAAATTTTAACTCGTCATTTTTACCACGATCAACCGCGGGCAAGCTACGTTGTGTTACATGCGTGTATAAACGTCAACACAAATTTAATTTATAACATGCGTGACTTCTCTTTCATGTGGCACACGCATTTACGAACGCAACCAAACAATCCACGCGCATAATTAACTGACTAATTCATTATACGATTCTCCAAAAATTATGTTATCAAATGCGTTTCAAAAAAGACGAAATGCCCTCATAAAAAAAATTTTACGAGATTATTCGCTGATTGTAAAAAAAAATTTTAGCAGATTTCCTTTCTATTTTAAAGAAGATAATCTATTAAAAAATAAAAATTCATTCATCATGCAACCAATATAATTATTTGATTATTGATAAGGCATGTTTATGAAAATTTTTTTTTTAATAAATTACAAGATTTCTTTTTCGAATTTTTTACACGGTCCATCTAAAAAAGACCACCATTTTTTACTCAAGTTGGATTAGACCGAAACGTTATCACCTTTTTAATTTTATTGAAAAACAAACAATATAATAAGTAAAAAAAATTATTATATATACAATAATTGACAAATAGATAACGATAACTGTTTTCTAAAAAAAATCATTTCCTTTTTTACCATGATTTAATTACCCTTCGGTTCAACTAAATTTATTTAAATTTGGGGAAGAGATAAGTGGTGTTTTAGTTTTACAAAATCACCTCGAGTTCGTATATGGTTTAGCCAACAAATCACGGGAATTTTTGATTTATCCAATACGAATGTGGAAGGGAAATCAAAATTGGTCACACCAGACTTTTTGCTTTTGCTCAAGCGTTATCCTTTTTTTTTCATTGCGCTGGCAGATTTGCCACTGCTTTTAAGGAAAATTATTTTTTTTATATCATGGAATCCCTTCGATCACTTTTCATAGGAAACCATCCGAAATAGATTTGCTTGATTTACGATCAGTGAAGATCACGGCGAAAAACAAAATTAAAAAATTGTCGATCTTACTGGGGTTTTTAAAATAAGTTATGCAAATTTATTTTTAAAATTAAATTTCAATATATATGATTGACATTTTTGTTTTATGCACATACTATTGAAATGGAGCTGTGTTTATTTTCATGTCGTTCAATATTGCATTCTTCGCGGAAAGGACACACGATGATCATTGAATTTAACATTGAATAATAATAATAATAATATGAATCATTCATATGAATAAAATACATAAATGACTAATTATAATCCTGTTCGAATCGTTAAAATCGAAAAAATGATAGACCACAAAGCAATCAAGATGACTTTCCAGACGGGTGTATCGGGTAATAGAATTCGTTTTGACTGTAAAACACTTGTACAATGGGTATCAAAATATATGTAAAGGGCGTAAGCGGGGAATGTAATGGAATAACTTAGATTGAAGAAAATATGTCTATAAATGAGGGGAAAGATTAAAATTAATAACGTATTAAAAATGTCATGAACAACAAAATTTTTAAAGAAAAAGAAAAGGAAAACTTTACGATCTTGCATCAACTGGAAAGATTGAGGCGGCGGCATTTCCCATTATATGCGTAAAAGATGCAAAAAGTAACAATAAAATTTGATTTGGATGTTGTATAACTTTTGGTGAGACGCTTGGTTCATCATTAGCCGGTGAAATATCATCTTCATTGGTCAGGGGAAGTTGTGCTGATGATTGTTCTTTAACATACTCTCGAGTAGCAAAGTAAATACGAACAAATACGATAAATAACGCATAATCCGAGCAAAGACCTAAATATATATAAATTAGTTTGACAAATCAACGAAAAAAAATATAAAATAAAATAAGATTCGTCTAAACATTTACCCTGTGCTTTGAACCAAATTGCATCATAAGGCCAAGGTAAAACAATATTCAACACATTTACAAGCATTACGTAAAAAGCGACAAATGCATAAAAAAGACTTGAAGTGATTTTTCCTCCTTGAGCTAATAATAACAAAATACAAACTTCCCAAACATTATGTAAAACACCGAAAGTTGACCATAACTTTCCTGTATCAAGAATGAATAAGGCAATCCCGGATACAGAAGTAAACGAAAGATAATAAGCTATGGAATTATTAAACCAAATAGCTGGAATTCTACTTCCATTTTCATGATAAAAATATGTAATAAATTTTTTTGGTAAATCCCAATGTGAAACCCATTGTAATGAGTAATAACCCGATAAAGTTAAGGAAATCATTAAAAAGAAACTTGAAGTATCATAACTTTGTTGATCAAAATCTAAAAATCGATAAATTGAAAATTTCCAATTTTATGAGTTAATATTATATAAGGAAAAAAAAAAACGTGAATAAAAGATTATACAAACGATCAAAAACTGGATGCCATGATGGATAACCCGTAAAACGAGAAGGCGCAGCGTTTGGGAAGTCAAGATCAATTAACGTGAAAGATAAAAGAGAAAGACTTAACAACACAGCAGAAAAAGTTATAGCAGCACAACCACGACAAGACATTTTGATAATTGGATGAAAGAAGGAAAGATTTGTCAACTTTTTATAACAAATTAATTAGATCAAATTATTGTACAAAACAAAGATGGTGCATTATCAACAATAACAGGTTGATCCACTGTAATCACTGATTGTCAAAATAATAATCATATGACGAGACATGAGACCAAAATAAATTGCCTAATTCATGATGTTTACCAACGCTTTTATTCCATATATTGAAGGAACAATCAACTGATTGATATCTTTAAAATCGCTCTCTTTCGAGCGTGCATAATTTTAAAACATTTTCGATAAAAATTAAGAATTATAAGAGTTTTTTCGGACTCATGATTCGAAAAACTTCATAATACCCATTCTCATCCCTCAGAATTTTCTTTCACATACTTTTGATTTCTATATAGAAATACCCAGTCAAGGAAAGGTCGTGTATAAGTTGAAATCTCCAAATTTTTTAAAAAGTCTCCGGATCCTAATTTTCCTCCCATATGATGAACTTAATTACGCTATTGCTGAACCGTTGAACTGAATAAAGTATGAAATGGATAATTTATAATGACGTTAAGAAGATGTCATTGATAGTTAATTTTATAGGCAATAATTAGTATTACTATTACCGTTAACGTATTTTAATAATATGACAAAGTAAAATAACTAATATATTTCATGGTTACTAACGCCCATGATAAATGATTACTTAATATTACAAATAATAATTGGATCATGTGCTATAAAGTAACAATTAATTAAACTTTTCGTTAATCATTTTTCACAAAAATTAATACTACCGGAATATTTTAAAAAATTCCATATTCATTTTATAAAAGAGTCCCGTGTTGAAAATACAGAAAAAGCAACGAAAATTTGGTTAGCACATTTTGAAAATTTTCGAAAAGATATGAATGATCCTTATCACAAGAGGAGCAATATAAAATACAATTGCATCTTATTTTGGACATGTTTATTCTAGAAAATCAAGTAGTAGGTTACATTGCTATTATGAAAAAAATGATGAAATTGAATATAAAGCATTAACAATAAATAGAATGAATTAATATTTAATCGGATTTTATTTTAAAAAGAGTTATTAAATGTAGAACCAGATTTTTATTTACAGACTAATTCAAAATAAAGGTTATTTATAATTTTATATTTATTTTTTAAGAATTTACAAATTTTTTAATTAATAATTATTTTTATATATAATTACAAGATCATTAAGAATCTTGAATAAAAAATATTACTAATAATAAATTCATTTAAA